AGTGTATGCAGCCAGGGCAAAAAGTAATTCTTACTTAATTATAATTTATGTATGTGACTTTGCATTATTTTTGAGAAAGAAGAGACAGTCTGCAGGCCAAATTAACCATGTAACAAGCAAGAAAAACAATATGTAGAAGGGAAGTAATTGAAGAAAATGAATACTTTATGCAGACAGTGGGGAGTGGGATGAAACACGACAAAAAAGGCCTGTTTTAAAAAGAAAGCAGAAATGTCACTGGAAAGAAATAAAACAAATAACTGGGCCCTTGCCAGATAGGAACAATATTTTCTTTTGAAAACGCTCTCTATCAGCAAAGTTCAGTTCTCACACTACATTTTAAGATGCACAGTTCTGCCCTGCAAGCTATGAGTGCCTTGATTTGAGATGCTGGTTCTTCTTTTTAGGTCAGGATATCACAAACAGAATCAAGATTCAAAATGACCTTGACAGCCTAGGACTATGGGTTGAAATCAAAAAGACAAAATTTATTTCAGCACAGCAAATTGGACTTGCCTTCAAACACAACAAATGTACAGCCAAAGTCATGTATATGAAGCAAATCTGGCTTGGATGCAAGACAGGTGGAAAGGATCCAGGTGTCATACACAATCACGTGATGAACATACGTCAGCAGTGTGACACTAGTGCTAAAAAGGCTAATGCAGTCGTCAGCTGCATCACCCAAAGGTCCACATCATGACAGTATTTCCACTTTGTTCTATAGAGTTCATATGTAGGACATTCTGTTTTGGGTACCCCGTTTTAAGGAGGTTGTAGTGTCTATCAAGTAGAAAAAGTGAAGCATATCCAACCATAACTGAGAGCACTATTTATTTCAATAGCAAAAGGATTCATGGACACCCAGCTCGCTTACTCAGAAGTAATTTGTCCAAGACTGAATGGCTGAAAGAGCTGGTTACATTACACCCAGAGAAAAGAAGACTACAAAAGGCTTTCCTAACCTCTTCAGATATTTGAAAGGTCCTCATACAGAAGACATGCTTTTTTATAGTAATAATGATGCAGAGGCTCTATATGGACCATTGAGTCCAGCCCCTGTCAAGAAGGGACAGGACAGAATCGAACTCCCAACCTCTGGCACTACCGCCAAAGACGTTTCAGCTAAATCTCAATAGAAATTTGCTAGCGGTAAATTGCTGTTTGACAACAGAACTTACTACCTTAGAAATTGAACCATTCTGTCTCTCCTTGTTAGAGGCATTTACACAAGAGGCTGGACAACTAATTGTAAAGGATGAAGTCCCAGCATCCTGCAGATGCCAGCACTATTTCACTCCTTTAAGATCTATAATTATTTTGGTACTTCTTTTTAAAAAAACTTACAGGAATCCTTATACATAATATCTGGATTTACTATCTTAAATATCCAAACTATGCATATTTACTCACAGTGGACTTCACTCCAAGACAAATGAACCTAGGATGACAGCTCCTTTTTTTCTCTCAAACAAAAGCAGAAATGTAATATTACTGGCATCACAAATAATTTATTTTATTCATTTATTTAGAATATTTTTACCCTACCTTTCTCCTTAAAAAGGACCCAAGATGGTTTACATCATTAAAAGACAGTATTTAAAGGTAGAAACAATGAGGATATAAACATGCCTTAGATCATTAAAAGACAATATTTAAAGGTAAAAACAATAAGTATACAAGTATTTAGAAAGATCAAATACCTCTCAGAGAAATGGTAAACAAAAGCAAAACTAAAAATTATTAAAAGCAGTAAGGCATGACAATCCATTTAAAAAATCCCACTGAAGAAGCCAGTCTCTCAGAAAAAGTTTGTCTGAAGTCTTTGTCTGCTTGCAGAAGAACAGCAAAGATGAGACCAGTTCTGATCTCCTGTGAAAAGGAGTTCCAAAGTCTGGGAGAAGCAACAGAGGATGCCTCTTCCATGTCCCCACCAATCTCACCTGTGAGGGTGGTGGGATGAAGGAAAAGGCCTCTCCTGGTTATCTTAACTCCCAAGCAGGCTCATAATGGGAGAGACGGGCTTTGAGACAGCATGGGCTCCAGCCATTTAGCATAATACTGGTGTGTTCCAAGGATCTTCTGTCCTTTTCAGGAGATGGGTGATCATGGTTATCAGCTTGGCTCCCAGCACTGAAAAATACAGCCTGCAAAAGGTCAACGAACTCTACCTAGCCACAAGGACCGGTGATCACTACACACAAAAGACCAGCTAATGACACCCATCAATCACAGTGACAGATAATCTCTCCTCCTCATCACAACAATACACCCACAACAAAATCACACTGATCACCCTAATCACCCATCTCCTGAAAAGGACAAAAACTGATCCCACAGCTATAAATACTCAACTCCCAAACAAACTGCACCAGAGCACAGAGTGCTACTCCTGTCCTCTGAAGATGCCGGCCACAGAGACTAGCGAAACATTAGGAAGAACAACCTTCAGAACACGGCCAAAAAGCCCCCCAAAAAACACAACAACCATTAGATCTCGGCCGTGAAAGCCTTCGCAAATACAAGGCCAAGAAAGCTTACTTGTTAGGCTTTCGTGTGCTGCCAATTTCTTTGCTGCTTAAGCAGGATGACACTGGAATTTTATAGTCATGGACACAGTGAAAAATCTGCTCAAATTCAATAGTATTCACTCCTGGGAATAAATGCCTACAGTAAAATCTTTATAGACCACACTCTCCACGTGAACTCAGAAGCAACACCCACTGAGTTTAATAGGATTTACTCTCAGGTGTGTAGGTATGCCAAATTATCTGAGAGTAAGCTCCATGGAACTCATAGAAGACGTGCATGGGATCGTACTGTCTCACTGAACTCTGAGGAACTTACTTCCAAAGATAACGCCACATGATTAACACAAAGTATCTCAAATGTCTCTAATCCTGAAGAGAAAAAAAGATTGTATATATAATGTGCTGCAGAATATAGATGCTCATTTTGTTTAGCGATTTCCTTGAGGAGTTTTTTCTCTCTCTATTTTTATGCATTTTTTGCTTTAAAGGCAACTAGGGTTCTAAAAATAACATAAAGACATTATTAAATACCTTCCATCTCCTGGTGTTTTCCATCATGTGGTGTTTGGGCTGCGTTATCATCAATAGCTTTGTTTCCCAACCCATTAACGGCTGCTGCTATATCCATTCTCCAGCAAGCATTCTGAACTGGGGAGATCTACAAATGCAGAAAAAGAGGTTAATACCTTAGGATTCCCAAGCCAAAATAAACAAATTCAGCAGGTCACAGTCGGTTTTTTAAAAACAAAAAGAAATGTAAGGTTCGGTTCATAGTGGAGAACCATTCTCTGCCTAGTAACTACAAAGTCTGTGCCATTCCAGGTAATATGATTAAATTTTTCATTAGGGTTAGAGAACAAGGGATTTCTCTGAACATGTTTGTACAGCGGGAGGAAGTCCCACGGATTTTAATGCATCTTGTTTCTATGTAATTACGCCTACAATCTGAGCCTGAAATCCTACCTGCATCTAAGTTTAGTTAGAAGACTCTCAAAATTCAGTAATAATAAAAGATGTAGTATTATCCCCCCACTTCCTTCATTTCCCTTATTTAAAAATATCTTTTCTTGAAATTTTTTTTAAAAATCCTGTTATAATGAAATCTGATGCATCTTTACTTGGATGTTAAGTCCAACTCTGTTCAAAGACTTTCCCAGGGTAACTGTGTATAAGAATTGAAACTTAACTCTTACATCCAAACTTAACCAAGCTTTAAGAGCACCTCTTAACCTCTCTACGTTTCCTTCCTCACCTACAGAACGTTATGTTTCAATTTCAAGGACAATTATGGTCATTTTCCTATTGCTTCTTCCCCCTACTAGTCGGGGGGGGGGAAGTTGCATCCTTATGGACATCTTTGGAACCGAGTGGGGCTGACTTGCAAGCAGACATGCATTTGTTCTGTTGCTTTGTTGTCACCACGCATGAAATATCTTGATTCCTCCTTTATGCTTTGCACTCTTCTGCCCCACACTTGTGACCATGACAGTGAGCTTCTGTTTCCCCAAGGCACTGATCCCTACCATTCCTTCCGATAAATTTAGAAAGACGAATGTTTCCTATAAATGAAAATTATCAAAAGTATGTTTTATGCATAGGCAAATAGAGGAAACAGGTAATTCCTAATTTCCTACAGAATACCTTGGTTAGTACAGTTTTTTTTAAAAAAATCCATACATTTAGCAAGTTTCTTTTATGCTACTCAACATATCAAGAGGACCAAGCCTTAAACATTAAGCTTAATCTGACAGTTTGAACTGAGTATAATGCTCGGCCAAATGAATAAAAACCAATGGATAGTTCAGTGGTTTCAGTATCTGACTGCTGAGCCAGAGGCTGGAAGTTTGATTCCCCACTCTGCCTCCTCAACAAGGGCTGGACTTGATGATCCATAGCGTCTCTTCCAGCTCTGCAATTCTAAGATCATTACTGAATCTTGGAAGACCTATTAAAATCCCCAGGAATGCTTTCAATTGTTTCTTTGGGTGATGTTAAGCCTTGCAGCCATTATTCCTCTACAAATCTGTCCAGACAAAAATCAAGCCCTCACCTGTCTCTGAAACTGCACAGTATCAGACACTAGAAACATCAGTTCATAAAGGGATCCTAGAGATGGAGTCAGCAAAATATGTACTGTGAAAAATATGTGTTAAGAATATGCCAAGCAAATATGTTCTTTTTCTGTGGCAAGGGGAGAGGGAAATCACTTGATTAAACTGAGTCTTTCTCAATTCAATTGAAACCATGATTTAAAACTATCTGCCTATCTGTCTGTCTGTCTATCTCAACTTGTATAATGCCCCGTTAGTGCGAACACTTTCTGGGTGGTCCATAACACATCACATCACATTAAAATCAACAACACAAAACTACAATATACAATAAATGCCATAAAAATAAATAAAACCCCGTCACTAGCTTAAACAGCCCCTGCATTTAAACAAAATTAAACAAATTTAAAACCAATTTGAAGATCTCAGGTCAATGGTTAAAAGCACTAATAAAAGTCACCTTTGAATAATTGTGTTGTTACTAATTTCCTAAAGACTGAGAGGGATGGTGCCTTGAAAACCTCTGTTGGAAGCTTATTCCAGATAGAAGGAACCATGATCAAGAAAGTACGGTTTCTGACATTAGCTCTTTTGGCCTCCTTCAATGTAACCATTTTTAACATCAAGGAACAACAGGTTACCCACCTGTAATTGTAGTTCTTTGAGTGGACCTCTGTGATTCACACTGTGGGTGATTCATGCCTGCATGGAGCCTCATCGGAGGATTCTATAGCTTCTCTTCAAGTGGACCTCTGTGATTCACACCGCGAGTGATTCATGCCTGCATCGAGCCTCATCGGAGGATTCCAGAGCTTCTGCGGTAGCAATGAACACATTAGAATATGCCCCTCCCCACCCATATAAGTACCTTGGCACCAAGCGTCCCCTTTCAGTTGTGTCAACCGCTGCTTAATAGTAAGCAAACAATGCTGTGACAGAGGGGAGGATGGGCAGAATGTGTGAATCACAGAGGTCCACTCGAAGAACTACAATTACAGGTGGGTAACCTCTTCTTCTTCTTCGTGGCCTCTGTGAATCATACCTTGGGTAACTGATAAGCTGTCTTACCTGTGACTAATAAGCTGTCTTACCTGGAGGCAAGGTGTTGTGCCAGGGTAGAGGCTAGAACAGCACGTCCAAATACCGCATCAGACTTCTGCTGGAGGTCAAGTCTATAATGATGGATAAACGTGGACAAGGGTGCCCAAGTGACAGAGGCATAGACTTCTGGAAGAGGTACACCACAGAGAAAGGCTTTAGAGGCTGCCACTGCCCTGGTGGAGTGAGGGCAAACCACTCTAGGGGCTGGTTGTTGAGCAATTTGATAAGCCAAATGAAAGGAAGAGGAGACCCATCTGGAGATAGATTGGGAAGTCACCTGACAGTCTTCTGTAGGTAGCTGATGGCTTATGAAGAGACGAGATGGCTGTCTAAAAGGTTGGGTACATTGGAGATAAAAAGCAAGAGCTCTTCTGACATCCAACATATGGAACATTTTTTCTTGGTTTGAAGAAGGCGACGGAAAAAATGAAGGAAGGACAAGTGGCTGGGAAAGATGAAACTGAGAGACAATTTTGGGGAGGAAGGAAATGTCCATGAATAACTTCACTTTATCATGAAAAAATTGTAGATAAGGGTAGTCATAGCATAAAGCTGCCACTCACTAGCTCACCGAGCTGAGGTGATGGCTACAAGAAAAAACTGTTTTAAAGATGAGGAGTCTTAAGTCAGTTGTAGCTAAAGGCTCAAAAGGAGCTTTGGTAAACTGTTCCAAAGTAAGAGTTAGTGACCATTGTGGAGAGGGAGGTCGAGTATCGGGGTAGATATGAGAGAGACCTTTCAGAAAACATTTTGTTGTTGGATGTTTGAAGAAGTTTGCTGCTGGAGAATTTGGAGGTTGGTATGATATTATTGCGAAAAGGTAGACTCTCAAGGATGAGATGGAGGCCCTTGGATTTGAGATGTAGGAGGAAGCGAAGAACAGTGGAAAGTGATGGAGGATGGAGGATGATGAGGAAGATTTGGTAAAGGATT